GGTTCCCTCTTTCCTACCCACTCTCCCGCTACCCTCCCTGTTTCGCCACTCACACCACTGGTCATTCTAGCCTTTTTGATGATATATGGAGTGACGTTAATCTGTCTAAGGTAAGGTGACCAGACGTCCCGCTTTTGGCGGGACAGTCCTGATTTTTAATAATTTGTCCTGCGTCCTGCGGCATTTAAAAAAAGTCGCTATTTTTGGAAAGAATGCACGACAAGCTAGGGTATATGGTTTTTGGCTGCCATGTGACTATTTCACCCGGATATGAGTTTTATCAATGGTGTCCCGCTTTACCAGTGTTAAAATCTGGTCACCTTAGTCTAAGGGCTTCCTGCTGTACAGGGGCGGCGAAAGGATTAAAGGCCAGAGTGTGCTGGGTCAGCTTCAGTAGGCAGGGGGCTGTAAGTGTGTAAAAGAAGCTGGTTGACAGTTAAGGTGGTCATGTCCTTATCCTGTTCTGAAGCAATTAAAAAACAAACAAACGGGGGGCTATTAGTAATAAGAAACATAACCACAAGTGGCCCGATGAAAGGAAGGGTCCAGGTTACAAGGGGGTTTGGGAACCTAAAGAGCAGTGCTGCATTGCCCCCCTCCCTGTGGCTTTTAAGATCTCCAGTCAATTTGGCGAAGGTCTCTATGTTTTGTTCTACCAGCCCTGATTCATAAACATAATAACAGCACTCTTCCCTTAGGAACAGGCAGGTGCTGCCCTTCTCTGCAGTTAGGAGATCCAAGGTCTTTCCATTCTGGAGCGCCACCTGCTCTAAGGAAGTGAGCTGCCACTGTAGGGAGGCCAGAGAGACCGAAGTGATTCCATAGCCAGCTGTAGCTTCTCCTTAAAGTGCTGTGCCTGGATCACGCTGTCGCCTAAGGCCCCACTGGTGAAACCTGATGCCGTGATTGAAGAGGCTAAGCTAAGGCCCACCATTACCGGCAAGCAAGCAGCCTGTTTTGGGTGGGAGACCATGGCTGGGCTCAGCAACCATGCAAGTTCATCCTCCCCAAAGAGAGTGAGCTGGGGAACTCCGGTGGTAGGGAAGCATGGGCTGTGGTAAAAGGAATTAAGGTATTTGGTGAGGGTGCCATTACACCAAAAATAGGTGGCCCTGGGGGCATACACCGTGGATGACACAATTGTGTTGGAAACACATCTACAGTGTAACGGGGACTCTGGTGACGGGCTGGGTGTGGTGGTCTGGAAGTAGGCACGAGAGGGGATAGATTGGTTAGCCTCCTCCAGTTCCCATAGGGGCACGTTAGGGAGTGGATGCACACAATCCATCTCTGGACCAGAGGTTAGAGTGGAGAAATGCGTTGGGACTGTAGCTAACAGAGGCATAAAAAGCAACGGGAAAGGTTTCCCAAAGAAGAGTGTTTAAAAAGGAAATAGTATGCTGAATTACTTGTTGAATTACATGACGTGGGTGCTACTCGGCGGGGACCCTGGGGGAGCTGGCTCTGTAGGTCTGTTCAGCCTTCAGGATATCTGGTGACACTTGAACCGAGGTGTCAGCTGATAGTACATATACCTGGCTTATGCTAAAGAGCCCATTGGGTAAGAGGAGCCTACTATGGTGGCATAATAAAACTTCCCATCCACCCCTGCCACCCATCTCTGATCCCAGGGGTCCGTGATGGTGAAGATGACCTTGTAATTAGAGCCAGAACCAGAGCGAGAAACCGAATGTGCTCTGAGGAGTCGGCCCCCATCGTGGTATTTCCGTATAGTGGGTTGAACAAGACCTGTAGAGGCACCCACTGTATTCTGGCCAGTTTTTGTAGTACAACTTAGTCTGGTCAAAAAGGAAACATACCATGGTCTTCCACTTAATATTCACTGCCGTAATGCTAGAGAGGGGGATGGTTAAAGCAGCTCACAACCAGTTTGAGGGCAATTCTTGGTTCCAATTAGATGGGTGATGAGGCTGTTATGCTTATTGTAAATTTCTTTTACCTTGAATCGCCACAGATAGGTAGGATTGGGAGGCCCTGCAAAGAGGCAGGAGTAGGCAATTTAGTAAAACGAAGGCAAGTGGGCCCCACCACCTGGGTGGAGTGCAAGGGGTCATGTCTGGGAGCTGCCTGCTTGACCCAGCTGAGGTGAAGCCAGTTGGGGTCCCTGAGTACCTTAACTGCCGTGGGGGTAGTAAGGATTACTGTATAAGGTCCTTTCCACCTCGGCTGGAGGGGCTGTGGCCATAGTTCCTTTAGAAGGACTGAGTCCCCCAGGCTCACAGTGATGGAGTCAGGCCGCTCAGGGTCAGGACTGGGCAGTCTTTGGTCGGCGTGTTCCCCAAGAAACTGCCTTAGAAGAGAGAGGGAAGGTAGGTAAATGGCTAAAGGAGGAGCCTGTGTTGGCAGGTTGTGGCTAAGGAGGCAAGGCCTGCCAGATATTAACGCAAACGGGCTTGAAAAGGAAGGAGAGCGGGGAGCTACGCGAATGGCGCCAAGGCTAGGCAGCACACCCAGGACTTGCGGAGTTCTAATGGCAGTTCAGATAGCTGGCTGTTTATGTTGCCGTTCATACGCTCCTTTCCTGAAGACTGTGGCCGATATGGCGTGTGAAGCTTCCACTTTATGTCCAGGGCAACAGAAACCTGTTGGGTGATATCTGGAAACAAAGCCCGGTCTGTTGTCAGACTGGAGTTGGGGAAGCCAAACCTGGGAATGATAATCGTTAATGATGATGTCGGTAACTGTGTCAGCTGTTGCAAGCTGAGTTGGGAAGGCTTCCACTCAGCTTGAAAAGGTATCAACTCTGTTGAGAAGAAACTTAATGTCCTTATGTGCTGGCATATGGGTGAAGTCAATCTGCCAGTCCTGACCCGGCAGGTGACCCCGCATTTGGTGAGTTTGTGACAGGGGCTTAAAACCTCCTTGAGTGTTTACTGCCTTACAGATAGGGTAAGAGGAGCTTACAGTCCGGACGGACTGGGCCAAAAAAGGGGAATAAAAAATGGGCAGCAAGTAGTGAGTTATGGCTCGGTCCCTGATATGGAGAAATCGGTGGAGTTTCTGGATAATATCCAAGCTCTGTAAGTTTGGCAGAATGAACTGGTTTTAAATTATGATCCACCCTTCTGGTGTGGCCTTGTCTCCTTTGCTTATGAGGGACGTTTGTTCCTGAGACATGTATGAGAGCTGGACGTTAGGTAAAGTTAGAAACATCCTGGGGGCAGGCTGCTTGGGGTTTGTAGAAAGGCTCCTCACTATAGAATCTGCCTGGTTATTGCCTCACGTGACCATGGAGTTGTCAGTTTGGTGACCTTTGCAGTGGGTGATAGTCACTTGAGCCGGCAGTTGAAGGGCTTCTAAAAGGCGAGAAATTAATTTACTGTTGAAATGGGGGCCCTTTAGTAGAAAGGAAGCCCTTTCTTCCCACATTGCAGCGTGGCAGTGGTCAATTAAAAAGGAATATCTGGAGTCAGTGTAAATCTTGGCTGATTTCCCTTGGGCTATGTGGAGTGCTCTGGCGAGGGCGACAAGTTCGGCTCTTTGAGAGGTGGTGCCCTTGGGAAGACGCATTGCTTCCCATGTTTCATTAAGTGAAACCACTACATAGGCTGCTTGTCTGTGCCCTTGGGGATCCACGTAAGAACTACCATCTACAAAAAGAGGGAAGTCCGGATTAGGTAAAGGCTGATCCAGGAGGTCAGATTGGGGCACAGTGAGCTCCTCCATGACCCGTGGGCATGAATGGTTATAGGAGCCAGAAGCAGTACTGGGGAGGAGAGTAGCTGGATTCAGTGAGGGGGACTGGTGCAGGCCTAAATCAGGATTTTCAAAGAAATAGCAGGTGGATTTCCTGCATCCTGCCTGGATGGAGTAAGGAGAGGAAAGGATGCAACAATAAGTCCTGGAGCCTGTGGGGGGAGAAGGTCTGAAGGGGCTGTCCCAAGGTGATTTTAAGGGCTTCCATGGTAAGGGTGGCTGCAGCCGCCAGGGCTCAGAGACAGGGCTGCCATCCTGGACCGCCATGTCCAGCTGTTTGGATAAGTACACTATCAGTGAGTAGGGGTGTCCCAGAGGCTGGGCGAGGACTCCAATTGCCATGCCTTGCTTCTGTTAGTGAACAGAAGAAAGGGTTTATCAGATTTGGTAAACATAGTGGTGGGGATTGTAAAAGCATTTCTTGGAGCTTTTTAAAG